ATTTTACTGTTTTTTTTCCTTTAAGAAACAGAGAATGAAAATCAAACTGGCTTAAGCAAAAAGAGATGGGCTTATATATGTGGATGATGCAGAGGTAGATCGGGCCTTAGATATTGGGTTGACTCAACAGCTCAAGGGTGTCATTTAAGATACTTATTTTCCCCTTAGTACATTGATTTGCATAGCATCACCTTCATTCTAAGACTGCCTAAATGACCCCATAGTTTCAAAATCCATACCCACATACCATCTCTTTCAGAAAGATAGAAATAGCTGGTTGTAGCCAGCTGTCTTAGAGGAGTGGAGAACTCTCTCCATTCACTCAGCGACATCCAGCTAAGTTTCTTTGTCCAATAATGCCGATTCCTAAGTCAATTCCATTGGTAGAAGAACATCCTGGGAAGCAAGCCTCAGAGGTAAATTCTGTGAAACAATCATTGCGGTAGGAAGAAGGAAATTATCCTGATGAGGTCACTCAGGATACAATTGTAGGTGGCATGGGCTCAGGGTCTCCTCTTTCCTACCCCCACTTCGTTCTTACTTTGCAAGGGGGATTGATGGGAAGGAAATGTAAGAAAAATCCCAGGATCTATACTCTCAACAACTACTAAAGCATATTTTACTCCTTAGAGGGTCTGTCCAAGGCTTGCCTTTGGTGAAGTCGCCTGGCTTTAAGATTATGCAAACCTCACCTTTATCAATGAGCTCTCTCAGAACTGAGGAACCGAAAAGCTTCTGTTCAGTGTTCAGAGAACACTTGAAATAGAATCACAAATTAACCTATAATATTTTATTACCTTCAAAGTACAAAATCTCCTGAAAAGTTTACAAGCTCAAAAATTCCCTGTTGAAGAAACTATCTTGAGGAACTGATTTGATAAAAATCCAGATATAAAATAAAAATTAGTATCATCTTTAGAATAAGAGAGTAAACTATATTCCTGTTTTTTTAAAAAAGTTGTTACCCAGGGAACATATAAATAGGAACACACACACACACACATATTCACATCTACATATATATATATGCATACATATATATATATACACACACACACACACACTTTAATCATCACATAACTTTTTTCTCCCTTTATACAGAAGCAGGAGGGAAATCCTAAAGTCTTCTTTAACTAATGTTATTCTCAACAAATTCTTGTTTCAGTTTAAAAGTATCCATCAGAGATTATACACTGAGTTTGGCCCACAGATATGTCCCGTTTGATGCCTATCTAGGCAGAGCTTCCTCTCTCCAGTTTGACCAAAAGCCACAAATCCCCTTCCTCATCCAAAATTTACTCTTAATCCAACCTTTAAAAATATTAGAGAACACTTATTAGAGATGCAGTCTAGTCATGGTCATAGCCTGTCTTAACCAGGATACAAAGGTAAGCAAATAGTCAGGCAACTCCTTGGTAAGCAAGAAAAAATAAACAGGATGGACTCTTCAGGCCAAAATGAGGACATTCAAAACTAGCCTTGCTTCACAACCAGAGATTTTCCTGTCACTCTTGGTTTTTCTAGGTTCTCTTCTAATAACATACTTTTTTTATAGAAAGGGTCAAACAAAATTGAGTATATGATAGCCTTAGCCATGCTATGGTAACCACCCAACACCCTAGTCATGGAAATGTATTATTAGATGTTTCTAGACTCTTCAGCCATGGATTATTACTTTAGTTCAGTTATTTCTATAGATGGCTGATCTCAGTGGTTTCATGACAATTGTTCTAATTTCATTCTCAGAGGGAAACCTTAATTCCAAGAGCCAAGGATTCCTAGCTGTTACCACCTAGGTACTAACTACAATTTTCACTGTGGGTGTTAAAGTCAAGATTTAAAAATATTGGTTCAGTATCACAACATGATATTAAATTGATATTGAGTTCCTCTCACTCTTTTAAACATTTCCCTACAGAGAGAGTTTGCTCTCTCTGTAGGGTTATGTCTTTTCTTTACATAAGGTATGATAACACGTTTTTAAAGAATGGAATTTTCATACGTCATATTTTCTCTGGTAGTCTTGACATTAAAACAATCACTTTTGGTCACATGCAATAATTGGGCATGGCAGGTCATGCCTCACTTGCTATGCTAAGTAAAGGGATTTGATAACTTTCAAAACCTCATACACCTTTGCAAGTTAAGTGGTAGTGTAAAAGATTTGTAGTCCAAAGGAGTTTGAGCTACATTTCTTCAGGACCTTTTCTTGTTCAGCATTTTATTCTCAGAACCTAACACAATGCCTGGCTCACATGGGAGGTTTGGTAAATATTTTAAAATAAGTTAATTAATGATAAAAGTTGGAAAAAAGCTCAGAACAAACACATTCTCTTGCTAAGATACTTAAAATACAAGGAGATTTTTTTCTCAGAGAGTCATATTCAAGATGAAAATATAGATACCAACAAAACAATAAAAAAAACTGATTTCTTTATTCAAACAACCATACTTCCAAATTACTATTTAATAACCAATAATACTCTTCAAAATTCACAGGTAGAGCACTTGTTTTCTATGATTTCTCTGAAAACAATGTCACAAATGTTTGGTTAAAGAATCTAAAATATTACAAAAAAAAATTTGTGAACTTAACTAATGAGAAAATATACTCTCTTTTAGAAAAGAGGATTAGGGATAAAAATAAAACATATTTCCAAAAGTAGATATGGATGCTCAAGTATCACAGGATTATTTGTGCAGTAAAAGACTTTTAATTTATTTAATCATGGTACACATGCTAGGATAGTACATTTTATTTTATATAGTACAAATATGTTTTTAATACACAAAGAAAATTAAGAATACTATTTTTGCTGTTACATATCAGATTCTTTAGGAGTCTGGACTACAGACATTTCAATTCAAAGTGTTTATTAAAGTGCAAGTGTAGTAAATCTTCTGGGGTGGAGAAACTTAGTTGAATACTTGTTATACTATTGCAACATGGAAAACAGATGGCAGGCCATCACCAATACCACCTGTAACTTTCTTTGATTTAAGCAATTTAGAATGCAACTTTCTTTTACTTATAATTCAAGTTTGAATCAAGGCATCTACTACCCCAAGCATCAATGCTCTTCAATATCTAATTTCACAGTTTTCTTAACACGTATCTCATGTTATTTATTATAGTCAGAGGCATCCCAACACCTTTGTCTATCTTTGCTACCTTTTAAATGGTTTATCTGGCAAACCATCAATCACAAATCATGAAACATATTTTAGCTCAAGTAAGATCAGTTAAGAAAGAAAAACAAGGCTTGTGTGGCCTAATTGGAAACATTACTCACATCAATAAGTGATAAATGCTTGTTCTGGGAAAGAATATTTATCCCCCAGATCTGTCTGTAATGTATAACATGGACAAGATTAAAATCTCCAATCACCTTCTAACTTCAGGCCATAAAGATATTGATAAAAGCAACTGAAGGCTTTTGTGAAAATAAAAGTTGTCAAAAAAAAACTCAATTTCAGGTTCAAACGATTGCTTGTATTACCAAAAACGTAAACATACGTATTCTATTTATAGTTTATTATCTGGTTAAAATTACAGCTTATGAACAACTTGAAATAAAATGCCCAATAAATTTCTGTAATATGTTTTAGTATATTTCAAAAGTCTTAATGAATTAGCTTACTTGGCTTTATCCTGAATAACATGTGATAGAAGTTTTCAATAATTTCTTATTTGATATTTATACTATTAAACAACTTTTATTAATTACATGATAACATTTCTAATTCAAAATTTATTGATAATACATATACTACTTCCTATGTCTTGGAGGAGACATTAAACATATCCAAGTAAATGTATTTCCAAAATAGAAAAAGACATAATGTTTCTTTTATAAAATTTTAATTTAAAGAACACAGATGCACTCACTCACTCCATGAGGTCAATTGTACTACCACAACCACATTAACCAAGTGATGTTCACTTACTTTACAGGTAATTTATTAAACTGCAGTACTGTCTCAGGAATGGTTCACACAAATAATTTAACTTAGGTAAACACCATTTTCCAGTAATGATAGGACAAAACAAACTTTAGGAGCATTTATGAACAGTAATGTCTCACTCTTAGTACACATTTGCCAACCGATCTCTGTTGTTTGCAAATGAATTAACTATGGCTTGAAAAATCATTAGAGCCATCTGCTTTGATGGTAAGAAAGAACTGCTATGATCATTTTTTTATAAGAGCAGAGACTAGGGACTATTTTAACATATTTTTAGCATCATTTACCCTAAATTTGACATGCTATCTAAAAAATTAACAGTATTGTTGATTGTTGTTGAGGCTCCTTGCAAATCTGTTTACTGAGAAACTGCTTTTCACACGTAGCCCTCTGTTCAGTTTTTTAGTGATATTGAACATGGAAAGTGTCCCTTTTTCCTACATCCAAATTACTCACTAGTTACCAAAATACTTGATTTTCCAATATTTTAATCCTTTAAGAACTGATGAAAGAAATAAAAATTCAGTTAACAAATTTCATTGTTTTGAAAGAGTCAGTGGAGTGAGAATGAACTTTTGTTTATTTCCTTATTCAAATAATTTAGATGTGTGTTATTTTTAGTGCTACCAACATCTGAATAGCACCCTTTTTCATTTGCTAGAAAAGTATCTATCTTTATTTTCTTATGAATATTTGATTCAGGAACATGTTTGTAATGTGATGATTAGTAACTCCTTGCATTGGGCAGGTCTTAAAAAAGCAAGTGTATACAAATACACACACACACCTACACACCCAGTGTAAACCCATTATTGCATGTCTGTTTCTCAAGGATGCATACATTTTTCAAAAGAAAGGAAAGAGGAGAAAAGAAAGGAGGAAGGGACAAGGGAAGAAAATAGAGAGAGTTCACTGATGTTTATTTTCTATGGAAATTTGCCAATAACCATGGAGTTTAAATACTATTGAATTCATAATGTTAAGATCTATTATTTACCCTTTGTTAAAAATCTATTTTTTCTTCTATCTTTTAGGATGGTGCTGTTAGAGAGATGACTGCAAAGGAGGACCTGTCCATTTACAATTGCACTTGGATTCAGTTGACATCCAATAACTACATATATGTTGAGCAAACAGATAGATGGATGGATGGATGACTGGATAGAAGATACATTAAACTTTATTCTGTCTAAACCTTAATTAAAAGGTACAGGAAAAATCTCGTTATGTGGTAAAAAGCAGTCCTCTTCAAATCATAAGTATCTTCTTATCTGGCTGTGCAGAAAGAAGGAGACAAATACATAGTTATAATCCATCAGATTAGTTGACTCAAACCTCTGAATCTATGGGATGAAAAACATGCTAAGAATATCTTCACCATAACTGCATACAGAATTGTATGTATCAATTGTATCCAAAAAGAGATAAGCAGGTACATTTCATAAAATTTATCATAATCTTAAATGTAAATAGCAAAACAGCAAATATACTCCCTTAAGACAGTGTATATAAAAGAATTTGTTCTTAAAAACTTACATTTGTGTATTCAAAAAGAAATCTCACAATCTAATAACTGGGTTTCTTTCTTTCTTTCTTTCTGTTTTTGTTTTTGTTTGTTTGTTTGTTTTTTACGTTATGGAGAAAAACAGCATTACATACGTGTAGAAGTTTAAGTCAGTGAGGCCAAGAGCTGGCCACAGCACAGGCTGGTAGTAAATGCCTGACATCTTCCTCTAGTTGGGCAAGCAATCTGAAAAACAGCAAGAGAGAGAGCCCAAGACGGAAATGACTGTCTTTTATAATCTAACCCTAGAAGTAGCACCCCAGCATGTCTGTGATGTTCAATAGAAAGAAGTCATTAGGTTCTTCCCGCACTCAAAGGAAGGGAACTAAACAAGGCAATAAATATCATGAGATGAAGATCACTGAGGACCATCCTAAAGGCTGCTTACCTTGGCTCCTTAAACCATAGTCAAACTTTTCTCCATTAATTCATTCCAAGGCATCCCTCTTCTCTGAATTTTAACAATTTTTCAGTTTAAACCTGAAATCAATTAACCTACCTATAAATAATCCGTTCTTTCCTCCTTCCCATGAATCTTACAGAAATGTCTCTTCTTCTCCCTACCATCTACCTTATAGGGTTATTGAAATATTAACTGTACAAGTGAGTATTTAACATTTGCTAGAAAACCTGTAATGTGTTGTAGCCCTCACTGTACCAACATTATCTGTTGTTCAGTGTTAATCCCCATACCTGAACTCTGAAACCTGTTTCCACAAGTTCTTGCATCATTAAACACTTTCCTGTCTACTTCAACGTCAGTTACAGATAATTTTAAGTCTCAACCATTTAATTTATCCATTTATTCACTTTAGTTTCAAATATTTCTTCTCATATTCTTCATCTTTTGCAACTATGGTCCTATATTAATAAATGAATTTCTTAAATAATAAACTGCCAGGTTCACTTTCTCACTTCTCAATAACCTCCCTGAACTCTAGTTCCACATCCCTACTGTGCTTCTCTGTAAATATTGGCAGGGATCTTCTGACTAAACCAATGGTTCTCCAAATGTGGTCCTTGCAGCATCAGAACCACCTGGGAATTTGTTAGAAATGCACATTCTGGGTCCCTATCATAGGCCTACTGAAAATCTAGGACTGAGGCTCAATCATCTGTTTTAACTAGCCCTGTTAGCTCATTCTGATGCCGGCTAAAATTGGAGAACTATTGTCTTCAACTACCATAAAAGAACTACTGTCCTAAACTAATGAAACACCTCCGGTCTTTATTTAACTTTGTGCAGCGTTTAAAACTGATTCCTTGAAAATTTCCTCACATAGTCTCCCAAACATCCTCTTTTATTTCCACCTCTCTGATAATTCATTCTTAGTATTCTTTTCAAACTTTTCTTGTCCTACCTGTTCTGAGAATGATAGACCCATTCTCCATTTTCTTCTTTTATCTCTATATATGTTTATCCTGGGAATTTTACCTGTTCCATTAATTTATATCTGAAGCTACTAATGCCCACCAAATTCATATCCCCTGCCCAGTCCACTTCTCTGGGTAATCATATTTTCAACATCCAAATCAAGATCACCAAATGGGTATCTTCTGTAAGTACAAAATCAACATGTCCAAACCAGAAATCATACTCCCCACAACAGCGCCCAAATATATTCCTCCTATTTCTTACCATGATAAAATGGAAGGTCATTTTTAAAGTCATCACATTCAGAAAACTGCCATTCACATCACAGTCTACGCTCTTCCCGTATCTTCATATAATCAATCAGGAATTGCTCCAGATTTTGTCTCCTACTTTATTGTTATTTCTGGAATGGTAGTTTTTCTCATTTTATCCTTAAAAGTAGTTATTAATCTTATGGTCATCTTTAGAGTAGGAAACTGAGACTAAATGGGGTCCAGCAACTTCCCCAAAATATACACAGCAACTAAGCATCTCAGTGAAGCTCTAAATCTAACTAAATGGTTCTTTACTATATTGCTTTAGGACACTTTTATACTCTTAAAAGTCATTAAGGACCTATACATGCTTTGGCTTATTTGGGTCATACTTGAGAATACCTGGAAATTCTAAAATTACATGTGTTGACTTAAATTTTATCATTAAACAAAACAGTAGCCCCATATTTTGCTAATAAGATTTTTAATGAAATATAACTAAATTTTCTAAAACAGAAATATTTAATGAGTACAGTGCTATTGTTTTAAATGTTTGTGAATCTCTTTAATGTCTGGCTTAATACAATCATATTCTCATATCTGCTTCTGCATTTAATCTGATATAATATGTTGTACTGGTTGAAATGAATAAAGAAAACCTAGCCTCATACTGTTATATAATTACAAATGGAAGAGTATCTTAATAACCTTTTCAGATGATTGTCAATATTCTCTGATAGCAGAGCAAAACTCAACATGCAGTAGCTTCTTAAAAATTTGTTACAATGCTGCATCAGAAATCATATCGAACTTTTGGGAATGTGTTACACTAACATTTATTTGTTTATCATGCTTTATAAATATATTTATTATCCACTCAAGCCTTTGTAACATCATTTATTGACCAGTTGGATCATACTAATTTGTTGAATTAAACAGATCTTTCAAATACTGACACAGTTCAGTATACATTTTAGAAATCACATTTACCAATATCACTTCCAATCTTATCAGAAAAGACTTTAAGTACCAAAATGTGGTGGATACAAGTATTACAAAATATTATTATCTCTTGAACATTTATATTTTATTATTGACAAATACCTGCCAATTATTTTCCCTGAAGTTACAAACTCACTTCCTCAATTTTCAAGAAAATCTGTCTACTACCCAAGTGTAAATAGTCATAATTTTTGTCTGTTAGCTATTCTTTTAAGTAAAACCAGTTTCCTAAAATAATAATAATAATGTGCATAATAATAATGCAACTGAAACAATCGTACTAGTGCATTTACTTGGAATAACTATCCTATCTTGATATTTAGTAGATGTTCTTTATGAGTACTTCTTGTTTCTTCACAAACACTATTAAATAGGCATGAACTCAAAGATTGAGATTTCATAAAAAATTTGTATGTCTTTTCCCCCTCTCTGTGAATGAATGGTGGTAAAACACAATGGCTGCCAGTAAGTTTGGTGCTATTGCCTTTATTTGTGTTAAGGCACCAGGAAAGTTATCCACTATTGCTTTTGCAACATGAATGCAAATTTTAACACAGAGGAAATAAGCAGATACCTTTCTAGTACTGAAACAGGTAACTTTCTGGTAGTATTAATCAAACATTTTCAACTTTGCAAACTTCCTAGAAGGATCTTCAGGACCACTTGGTCACCTTAAGGACTCCATTATCTCTCTGTCTGTCTCTCTCTCTCTTTTTTTTTTTTTTTTTTTTTGGTAGACGGAGTCTCTCTCTGTCACCCAGGTTGGAGTGCAGAGGCACGAACTTGGCTCACTGCAACCTCTGCCTCCCAGGTTCAAGCAATTCTCCTGCCTCAGCCTCCCAAGTGTCTGGGATTACAGGCATGAGGCACCGCGCCAGGTCAGGACTCCTTTTTTTTTTTTTTTTTTTTTTTTGAGGTGGAGTCTCGCTCTGCCGCCCAGGCTGGAGTGCAGTGGCGCGATCTCGGCTCGCTGCAAGCTCCGCCTCCCGGGTTTACGTCATTCTCCTGCCTCAGCCTCCCCAGTAGCTGGGACTACAGATGCCGCCACCACGCCCGGCTAATTTTTTGTATTTTTAGTAGAGACGGGGTTTCACCGTGTCAGCCAGGATGTTCTCCATCTCCTGACCTCGTGATCCGCCCGCCTCGGCCTCCCAAAGTGCTGGGATTACAGGCGTGAGCCACCGTGCCCGGCCAGGACTCCATTCTTAAAGCTATTCCATGCTTTTTAAATAACACTTTCCCTCCAGAACTTATGCTCCTAACTTTATAATTTACACTATATTATTCTACCACTATTTGGAAAGTTATTATCATGGTAACCCGATAATACAGTTATTTTCAGGTTCATGGTCTCTGATGTTAAAACGCCGAGGTTTGAATATGACTGAGCTACCTGTTGGCTATGCAACTCTAGGCAATAAATCTTAACAGTATTTATTATTCCAGATAAAGAAATTACAGGTAAGTTAATTAATTTGAATTTAAATCCAAGTTTGTCTGCTGATGCCTATATTTAAAATCTTAAGTTCTTTATGCGACATTGAGAACATACACTTCCCCCACCCTAAGTTACTTGTCTCTACTTTTGCTCTCTGCCTTCCTCTGATCTAACTCTACTCCCACATGGCCACTCCCTAGAAGCACCAGTAGTAAATTGCGTGTAGTGTTGACATTTACAAACTTATCAGACAATGCATTTTACATCTGCTTGACCTATGCATACCCTTTTGGTGGTCTCTCTGTCTCCAATACTAATCTCAGTACTAGAGCCCTTCTTATTTTTGTGAGAGCATTAGTGCATTTTATTCCACTTAAATGTCTGTATAACTGGTTTCTCTTTCTCAGGTGCAGTCATGTTTTACAGTGGAATGAGTGAGATAATAATAATTTTTATAACTTTCAAAGATTTCAACACACAGTGTAGGTTTAATTTAAAAGATATTAAAGAAGGAGATTTATAGGAAAGTGCTCCCATAAATATGTTGACTTTCAAAGGAAATTATGAGAAATTT